TTTTTGAGTTGGAGTCTCACTCTGTCGCCCAGACTGAGTGCAGTGGCTGCTCCCGACCACCGCAGCCTCAACCTGCTGGGCTCAGACGATCCTTCTTCTGCCTCAGCCTTCCAAGTAGCTGGAACTAAAGGCGCGCGCTACCACACCCGGCTAATTTTTTTTTGATTTATTGTAGAGATGAGGTCTTGCCAAGGTGCCCAGGTGGGTCTCGAACCCACGGGCTCAGGCAGTCCACTCACCTCAGCCTCCCAAGGTGCGGGATTACAGGCTGAGCCATCGAGTCCAGCTCTGTTGGGAATTTTTTTGGGGTGCAATAGACAAACTTCAGCCAGCCATTCTCTTCTACTGTTTTAGCTTTTGATTCGCTGCAAAAGTTGGGAGCTTTCACATCCAATGCTTTTCCATTGGTCTTCTAGCCCTATTGTTGATGATTCTGCTAGAAGAAAAACAGCTACCATAGCAAAATTCCGACCCCTTTATTAATGTAGAAACATCTATGAGAAAAGACTTTTCTCTGGTGACAGCAACATTGGAAGGCTTATTAAACCGCTTTTGCTAGCTGCATTATGCCATATGTTTTATGTGGTAAAGTATAATAGGTCCCTGCTCTTAAGGAGCTTATAAACTAATTTTATTTACAGCGGGACACTAAGCAGATGGTACATTGTTTGTTACTTTACTTTTTGTGTAACCAGAATATGGATAAAGAAGAGGGTACTTAAATGTGTTTCATATCCAGGTAATTAGAAAGTGTGAGTGGCTGTTTCTCACTTCTGTTTTTTGCTTTATTGTTTTACTTGGCTCAAATAACAACAAGCACTGGGATATTTATTTCGTTTGATTTTAAATGCTTGAATTCATACAATTTTAAAGAAACAACTTCTTTTAAGTTGGTTGCCAGTGAATAAAAAAGGGTTTGAGGCTGGGCGTGGTGGCTTATGCCTGTAATCCTAGCACTTTGGGAGGACAAAGTGGGAGGATCACTTGAGGCCAGGAGTTTGAGATCAGCCTGGATGACAGAGAGAGACCCGGTTTTTACAAGAAATTTAAAAAATTTGCCAGGTGTGGTGTATGCCTGTCATCCTAGCTACTCAGGAGGCTGAGGTGGGAGGGTTGTTTGAGCTCAGGAGCTGGAGGTTGCCATTGCACTCCAGCTTGGTGACAGAGAGACCTTGTCTCAAAAAACAGGTCTTAAATGTTTGAGTAAAGAAGTAATAATAGAGCTCTCTTAATTTTATAGTAGTCATACGCACAGGATACTGTTCCTGTGCGTATAAAGCAGGGTTTATAGCACACTTTTCCTTAAAATTTGTTTTTAAAAATAGCGAGCCATGTTCTAAGGGCTCACACTTGTTATTTCTTCCAGGATCCAAAGATTCTGTAGCTACAATGTTGTCAAGACTTTTCCGAATGCATGGCCTCTTTGTGGCCTCTCATCCCTGGGAAGTCATAGTGGGGACAGTGACACTCACCATTTGTATGATGTCCATGAACATGTTTACTGGTAATGATAAGATCTGTGGCTGGAATTATGAGTGCCCAAAGTTCGAAGAGGTTTGTGAAATTAATTTGATAATTGACTAAAATAAATTATATTTTCATTTTCTAACGAGGTGTTATAGGATCCTTTTATTTAGATAACTTGCCATTTTAGAAATTACGAATAAAATCTTTATTTTTAGTATTCATTAATTTCCCTCATTTTCATTTGCTTATATGATATGGAAATGCACTGTAAATACTTTTCTTTTGCCTTTTTTACACAAATGAATATAATAACACTTTGAGAAATGAATTTTTTATAAGAGACAGTAAAAAATGATTGTGATGAAATAAATTGGCTTACCATATTACCACAGTGGCTTTATTTTAAAATTGGATTTAATTTTTGATTTGTCTGTTTGATATTTTTATTGGACTTCTATATGCCTATTTCACATCTTCTCAAAATATATAAACTAATGACATACAGAATAAACATTTTTATTTTTGATTGCTTACTTTAAAAGTCAAAGCTACTGTAATTTTCTTTTCTACCTCTCTCAATAGGATGTTTTGAGCAGTGACATTATAATTCTGACAATAACACGATGCATAGCAATCCTGTATATTTACTTCCAGTTCCAGAATTTACGTCAACTTGGATCAAAATATATTTTGGGTAATACTTTAGTATATTTAACTTCTTTGTGTGTGCCATCATACTTTTGATTTGCTGTGGAAGTAAACCTGTTTGTTCAAATCATGTGTTTGGGAGCATGTGTATTGCTGAAAGTGTGCTGAATGAATTTAATAGAATGGCAATTAGACAGTCTAAAATTTGAGACCTTAATGATCTGGAGAAAAATAATATTGTTTATCTCAGAATATTGTATGAGACTAAATGTTATTGTGTAATAAAGGATAAGGTTTTTCAGTATTGAATTTTTGTTATTTTAGGTATTGCTGGCCTCTTCACAATTTTCTCAAGCTTTGTATTCAGTACGGTTGTTATTCACTTCTTAGACAAAGAATTGACAGGCTTGAAGTAAGTATGTAACAGTTTAAATATCCTTTCCTCCTCCTTCTTTTTTTTTTTCTGAGTCAGGTTTTCACTCTACTGCCCAGGCTGGAACAGTGGTATGATCACAGTTCACTGCAGCCTTGACCACCTGGGCTCAGGTATCCTTCCTTTTGTATCAGCCTCCCCTGTAACTGGGACTATGGGCCTGTGCCACCACACTGAGCTAATTTTTCTGATTTTTGTAGAGATGAAGTCTTGCTATGTTGCCTGGGCTGATCTCGAACTCCAGGGCTCAAGCAGTTCTCCTGTCTCAGCCTCCCAAAGTGCTGGGATTACAGGCGAGAAGCACTGTGCCTGGCCTTTCTTTCAAATACATTTTAAAGAACTTTTTCTTCTCCGTGCTGTTAAAGGCAATATATAAATTTTCAAAAGTTTAGAAGATCGGGAAATTTTTCATGTAATCTTACTACTAGCTAATTTTAATAACTATTAACATTTTATATTCTTTCCTGCTTTTTTATGTTTAAAAAGAATTCTGAGATCATATTATATATGCTGTTTTATAATTTCTCTAAGCCTAATAATAGTTTATCAACATCTTCCCATGTCCCTAATATTAAACTAAGTTGTTTGTAATGGCTATATGCTCCTTTCAGAATATTTTGTAGTTTATTAATATTCTAATATTAGATTGTTAGGTTATTTAATTTTCTCCATTAATAGCAAAACTGTGATGAATTCTTTGTAGCTAAATTTTTATTCATATTATAACCATTTTCTTACGATTTATTCTTAGGAGTGGGACAGTGGTTGTACTTTTTTAGAGCTTTGCTTTTTTTTTTTTGAGTTGGAGTCTCACTCTGTCGCCCAGACTGGAGTGCAGTGGCCGCTCCAGGCCACTGCAGCCTTGACCTGCTGGGCTCCTGCCATCCTTCTGCCTCAGCCTTCCAAGTAGCCAGAATTACAGGTGCGCGCTGCCACGCCTGGCTGATTTTTTGATTTATTGCAGAGATGAGGTCTTGCTGCCCAGACGGGTCTCGAACCCGTGGGCTTAGGCAATCCACTGACCTCAGCCTCCCAAAGGCGCGGGATTACAGGCTGAGCCAACCGAGCCCGGCTAGCTTTGCTTTTTTTAAGAGCATTTTAGCACGACTACTGCAGTTTTATTCTCCAGAAAGTTTGTTGGGTTTATCCTTACACAAGTAGTGATTAATGAAACACCTTTTATATATTTCATTTTTCCCCCATGCTAATTCAAGGAAATAGTTTTTACTAAGAATGGTATTTTGCTACAAAATTATCAAAACATATTTGGGTGTAAGCATATTTACATTTTAACATTAAGAATATTTTTAACAAATATCTTGAGCAACTATTATGTTTAGCTCTGAAGGTGCCAGAGAAGTATAAGGTATACCTTTTGGTCTGCAGAAAGGTGCACAAACTACAGGATCATACAGTGTATGAGAGGAAAGTTTTGTTTTAAAAAGGATTTTTTAACCCATATTTTTTCCTATTAAATGAACCTGATCTTTTTTTTTTCCAGTGAAGCTTTGCCCTTTTTCCTACTTTTGATTGACCTTTCCAGAGCAAGTGCATTAGCAAAATTTGCCCTCAGTTCCAACTCACAGGTAAGTATTATTTATAAGACAAGAATTCCTTTATGAGTTTTTTTTTACATAAATAGGAAGGATTAATAGAGTTTCTTAATGGCCCAAGATGCAATAATTGCCCTAAATTTTAAGATTAATCCTCAGGTCCTAAGACAGGTCTTTGTAAGTGCTCTATGAAAGTCCCATTTATCTAACCAACTCAATCATCATTCCATAGCTAATGGAATTTGGAATTGTCCTGATTTTCCTTTCTGAAAGTTTTCAGAAATTATGGTAATGTGACTTTTGGATAAAGAATATTTATTTCATGAAATACATAAGGGAGCAGGATGGTATCTAATGGAAAAGAGCTGCAGGGTAGATTTATTTTTAAACCCCTTTGGTTAGCGCCAGAATTATTTCCTATCTTAAGTTTCATTTTGTTATTAGTCACTTTGAAGAAACTAACATAACAATCTTGCATCAGAATATCGGTGGCTCAGCCTGTAATCCCGTGCCTTTGGGAGGCTGAGGTGAGTGGATTGCCTGAGCCCGGTTCGAGACCCGCCTGGGCAGGCGAGACCTCATCTCTACAATAAATAAAAAAAAATTAGCCGGGCGTGGTAGCGTGCGCCTGTAGTTCCAGCTACTTGGAAGGCTGAGGCGGAAGGATCGCCGGAGCCCAGCAGGTCGAGGCTGCGGTGGCCGGGAGCGGCCACTGCACTCTAGTCTGGGTGACAGTGAGACTCCAACTTAAAAAAAAAAAAAAAGTAAAATAACACATAGTTTCCCCCAGTGCTGTATTTGATGAGTGTTTATGATTATTTGAGCACCTTAACAAGGAAATGAGTTAGGTTTTATAATAGTAACATGATCTCATAAAAGTTTGTAACTAAGGTCCTTTTGATATTAAATGTTGGAGGATTTAATTATGTTGGCTTTCAATGATGGAATGAATGCATTCAAAGGAATATTCCCAAGAAATATCTCATTCAGTAGAAAGGGAAGCAGGGCACTATTTACAAGGGGGACCCCAAAAAAACCCTGGAATTTGTTTATAAAAAATTATGTTTTCGTATGTGTTTAAACTTGTCACTTTCAAAGTACTCTCAATTTGATGCAGTACAGCTATTGAGATGCTTTTTCCACTGCTCAAAACAGTTTTGAACTCATCAATTTTGATGCCTTTTAGCGCTTCTGCTGGTTATTGTTACCCTTCTTCCACATTGGCAAAATGTTTCCTTTTGAGGACCTTTTTCTTCTAGGGAAACAAACAAACAAAAAAAGTCGCTTGAGGCCAGATTATTGGCTAATTGAATAGGGAGTGTGGGACATGGGGGTCACGCTGGTTTTCATCCGTAGCGTGGACAGGATGTTGTTATGGTGGAAGAACCAGTCACCTCTTTTGCACAACTTGGGATGTTTCTTCCACAATTGGTGATGCAGTCTTCTCAAAAAGCAACCTTCTCAGCGCTTCTGGATGAAAACTTTGGTTGGCCATTGATCTGGAGGGACAAATTCTGAGTGCACTACAGGGGTCCCCCCAAAAAAAGACATTTCAGTTTTTTGTGTCTCCTCCTTTGTATGTTCTTTTATTTTTCTTCTTTAATTTTAAAGATGTGGGGTACAATTCAGGGTTAGGTATACAAATGTTCATTATGCAGGTGCCCTTGTTGATGAGGTGTGTCCGCCCCTTCCCTGGCAGATTCCACTACTGCCAATCTCTTATAGTATTATGATAATTGTTCAAGGTCTGCTTATGAGTGAGAACACATGGTACTCTGTTCTTTGTTTCTGTGGTAGATCACTGAGTATGATAGACTCTAGTATGTTCTTTTTTTAATCATCTATATTACTACTATTCTTTCTATCTTGAGCACCTGTTAGTCTTGTCTCATTGTATATTTTATTCTTTGAATAGCAAATTAGATGTTGGTATAAGCCCTAGGATGCACTAACATTTCTAAAAGTTATTTTGTACTTTGTTCTCATTGATATGCTTAATCTGTGTTTTAGGATGAAGTAAGAGAAAATATCGCTCGTGGAATGGCAATTTTAGGTCCCACATTTACTCTTGATGCTCTTGTTGAATGTCTTGTAATTGGAGTTGGTACTATGTCAGGTTTGTAAGCAATTTTTAATATATTTTAAAATAGATATGTCAAAAAGAATATCTTGGTATTGTTCTTAAATTCTGACTTTTAAATTGCTCTTAATTTTTAAGTAGTATCTGTTTGCTTTGGTGAAGACTTAGTAGCAGATTGCTGATTTATTTTTTACTCCTGCCATCCGCTCTTTATGTGTTTCATTTGTTTGTGATATTAGTTTTTTTTTTTTTTGTTTAGTTTAGTGTTGTTGTTGTTGTTTGAGTCAGGGTCTCACTCTGTCATCTAGGCTGTAGTGCAGTGGCACAATCATGGCTAACCACAGAGTCGACCTCCTGAGTGCAGGTGATTTTGCACCTCAGTCTCCTAAGTAGCTGGGACTACAGGCAAGCACCACCACACCTGGATAATTTTTAATTCTTTGGTAGAGATGGGGTCTCGCCAAGGCTGCTCTTTAACTCCTGGGATTGAGGAGTCCTCCCGCCTTGGCCTCCCAAAGTGCAGAATACATGTGTGAGCCACCATGCCTGGCCAGTTTAGTTTTTAACCAAGATTGTATTCAAAGGCTAGCCTAGAAGGCACCTTCCAGGCCCTGCTGTTACTTAGACTAAATTGGTGACTTGGTTCCTTATGTTTTATTTATCATGTAGGAGACAGTGCAAGTCAGAAACTGGACAGATCTGAGTTATCAACCTAATAAGGTGGTTGGAAAGATTTAATCAGAGAGGAGGTAGCGTTAGCCTCAACACAAATGTTTCCTCATCCTTAATTGGACAGTAGAGGATTAGATATGAAACATCAAATAGTACTAGTAATACATTATGTAGGGTAAAAATTATGGCCTGGCACGGAAATTTGCTAGAATGAATGTGTTGTGCTATGAAGATATCTGATTAGATTTTATGACTTTTCTCAAAAAGACCTTACTTTGTTAACTACTGAGTTATTTCCTTGTGCCTTGGACCCCTCAATAAGGAGCCTCATTCTCTCAGAAGTAAATTATTATTATTATTATTTATTTTTTTGAGTTGGAGTCTCACTCTGTTGTCCAGGCTGGAGTGCAGTGGTACACTGATGGCCACCACAACCTTGACCTACTGGGCTGGAGCTACAGGCGTGTGCCATCATGCCTGGCTAACTTTTTGATTTATTGTAGAGATGAGGTCTCGCCAAGTTGCCCAGGCTGGTCTAGAACCTGTGGGTTCAGGCAATCCTCCCACCTTGGCCTCCCAAAGTGCTGGGATTATAGGTGTGAGACCCCATGCCTGGCCTAAATTATCTAACTTTTAAGGGGGTAGTTGGCTGTCATTTGTACAGGCCTCTTTACTGGGTAGTATATTAAATATATTTAAATAATGTAATGTTTCTTCTAACTTTCTGAGGACAAATTGATTATTATTTAGTTATTCTTTTATTCAGCAAAGAAAATATTTTTAACATTAATTATTAAAATTTACATACCTTAAGATTCACTTTTTCAGATGTATAATTTTTATGAGTTTTGACAATGAGTATTCATGTAACCACTACTACACTTAAGAAGGTTGATGAGGTGAAAACATGCCTATGTGATTTTTTTTATTCAAGCAAAAGTGTATATGAGAAGTTGAAAATGATTAACTAGAAAGTAGTAGTTAGGCCATGAAACCAAGGGATTATTCATTTGAAACGGATGTGGAAAGCAGTAGAATGATGAGTTTTGTTATGGTATGGTCTGAGAAGTGGACAAAGAAGTGATTAGATTTGTAATTGGAAGAAGTCAAGGAGGAGACATGTACGTCTATACAGAAATTGTATAATTGGAGATTTGGCTTAGAGTCAGAAAGGGCAAATGTAACACATTAACTAGGAAAAAACCCTTTGAAAAAAGCTAGTTCAAAAATAAAACAGTCTTAGCTTCTTGGGAGTACGGATTGGTGCTCTCTCTGTATACACCAAGACTTATCTTGGGACAGAGTTAAGAAGAGTATCTGGAGCGTGTATGGCAGCAACATGAGTTATTATGGTGTAGAGAGAAATAGAACATTAAGTTGTGGAAGCATTCAGTGGTCTGAAGTTTGAAAAGATTATATTCAGCTATTATTTACAATGTAGTTTGGTTCCTGATGCTTCTGTTACTGCAATTTTGTAGTCTCTAGAATTTCCATATTTGAGAATAGTAATGCGAAATTTTAAAAATACAGCATATGCTTTTGTTTTATTATTCAAAGGATCACTTAAATTTAGAAAATAAAATTTTGCGTTTTTGATATTAATTATTCTAGTTAATAGTTTTTATAGGAAAAGGGAATTATTTTTAACTTATATTCCAGAGCATTTTTCTATTTAACTTGAGTGACATCAGAAATATGCTCTATATTTACTCAGGTTTGTCAAGTGAGGGAATAGGATTTGGTCATTTAAGGTCTTTTCCAGCCTCTATTCTGTTATCTTTTATTTGAAATTACCAAATAATACCTTAAACATTTTACAATGGAATATGTTTCAGTTTTAAATCTTGAGTTGTCATTTTGCATCATGTCAATTTCCAAACAGATAAAAGACACATTATGGAAACTTTCGTAGACGCTTGGGGGGGGGGGGGGCCCCCCCTGAAAAGAGATTTAGGAGGTCCCTTGGAAGGTGTGATGGCATCGGTGATTATTCTAGGGGGATAGATGTTACGAGGAAGAAAGTGCCGGGCTCGGTGGCTCAGCCTGTCATCCTGTGCCTTGGGAGGCTGAGGCGAGTGGATTGCCTGAGCGCGCGTTCGAGACCCGCCTAGGCATCTTGGCGAGACCTCATTTCTACAATAAAAATAAAAAAATCAGCCGGGCGTGGTAGTGCGCCCCTGCAATTCCGGCTACTTGGAATGCTGAGGTGGAAGGATCGCTGGAGCCCAGCAAGTCGAGGCTGCGGTGGCCAGGAGTGGCCGCTGCACTCCAGTCTGGGCGATAGAGTGAGACTCCAACTCAAAAAAAAAAAAAAAAAAGAAAGAAAGAAAGATGGAGGGATAAATAGTAAAAGAAAGAGAAAGAAAGAAAGTGGACATCTGTTCAATGAGTTGAGCAGAAGCCGTTTATTGAAACTTACAGCAGGTATTTATCCCCAAATTTTACACCGGCAGTCTTTACAAGTCTTCCACATGAACACAAGCCAGGTGCAGGAGGGGCGCCCCCCCCACCCACCAGGTGTTTCCTCAGGCATGAGGAAGAACAGTCTCAATTAAATCACAAAACTGTTACATGAACACAAAGCAAGGTGAATGAGGGGCATCCCTCACCCACCAGGTGTTTCCTGGAGTAAGAGGAAGGGCAATCCCAATTAAATCACAAGACATTTACATGAACATAGAGCCAGGTGGATGAGGGGCGTCCCCCACCCACCAGCTCTTTCCCCAAGCATGAGGAATGAGGATCCCAAAACTATCTCACTGTTCCTCATGCTTGGTTAATATTTCTCACAAGCAATACAACAATTCTAATATCATAATATTCTAATAATCAATAACTTTTAAAACCTATGCATACGCAACACCTAATAACCAACCTAAATCCCAATTGCTCTCTATTTTACGCTAATTCTACCTCCACTATAGAAACTCTTAATTATAGCCCAAACCAATTCCTAAGGAATGTGGCTCAGTCAAAAGATCACACTGGGCCGTTTCTGGGAACAATTGATTACAATCTCTTAACAAAATGGATGTTCTGAAATCCTATAAATCTATTTTAACTTTTATAAAAGTTTCTAATTCCTAATCCTGATCATCAGCAATAAAGCTTCTAAAAAATAAAACTCAAGTATAAACTGTGAATTGTATTAAAGCCAAAACCGCAAATGTAGAAGATGGAAACAATGTAATTTCTTAAGTTAGCTGTATTCTTTTTTTTTTTTTTGAATTGGAGTCTTACTCTGTCACCCAGACTGGAGTGCAGTGGCCGTTCCTAGCCACTGCAGCCTCAACCTCCTGGGTTCTGGCGATCCTTTTGCCTCCGTCTTCCAAGTAGGCGGAATTACAGGCATGCGCTACCACGCCCGGCTTGATTTATTGAGATGAGGTCTCGCTGCCCAGGCGGATCTTGAACCCGTGGGCTCAGGCAATCCACTCATCTCAGCCTCCCAAAGGCGCAGCATTACAGGCTGAGCCACCAAGCCTGGCTAGTTAGCTGTATTCTTATTAAACCTCAGAATATCATGTTTGATCATGCTTGAGCTGACATAATTCACTGACGTGGCATAACCTATTCTATAATACTTTCTATGAATAAAATAAATTTAATTTCTATAATAAGTAGAAAAAACTCTATACTAACTGTAGCTAAAACCCGGTTAAAAAGAAAGCAGCCTAGTCCAAAGTACGCGCTGGGCCCTTAGGAATGTGGCCCAGCCTAAAGTTTGTGCTGGGCCGTTTCTGGTAGCTCTAGATATTTATCTATGTTATTAAGGTTGAAACAGCACTTTGTATGTATATACTAATTCTACAAATATATTATTAAATCTTAAAAGAAGCTCGTGCCATATTAAGGGCTCCCAAATGTGACCTGAGTTTGAATTATGTTAAGTTTAAAGCCGAAACCGCAGTCTGTGAGAAACGGGAACAATGGACTCCTAAAGTAAGCCATGCCTGTCGTACTCTCAGAACTTCATGCTTAGATCATCAAAGTCCCTGCTAGTGGAACGTGCCAAAACAGCAAAGAAGGGAAGAGGCAATGGGCCTTCAGCTCCTGAACTCGTCCTAGCGGTCTCAGAGTATGCAGCCTGCCTGAATCAGGCAGCCCTCCACGGCTGGCTCCCAACAAGACACCATAGAGGTTATATTGAAATTAAAGTTTAGTGGTACTCAAAAAAATTTGTTGGGATCTTATGTCAGGAATGGCATAACTGGTGGTATAGTCTACTTTTATGAAAAGTCTTCAGTTCACAGGTGACTTGCTTTTGTGGTAATGTAGGATTGGGTCAGTATAACTGGGGAATTTTGTTCCATTTGGGGAGCCTGTCCTCTTATCTCCTTGTCTCAAAACAAGGTACTACCATTTGATAAAAAAGGGATTGGAAACACATTTCTTGATCAAATATTTATGAAACACTACCACTCTTCCTGGCACTGTGTGATGCTGGGTCCCTGGTAGAAGACGAGATCTCTGCCTCTGAGGAATTTAAGAGTTTCGTAATTACTCCTGTTCTCTAAGGCTGGCATCACCTCTGAGTTGCTAATTCTATTTCTAGTAAGTGGCAAAGAGCTTAATGTACCAGTATTTTCATGTGTTTGTGTACCTGCAGGAAGAGTCCTTGTGATATATGCAGTGTCAAAAATATACATACCTGACCAGTTATACATTTTTCTTCACCTAGGGGTGCGACAGCTTGAAATTATGTGCTGCTTTGGCTGCATGTCAGTTCTTGCCAACTACTTTGTCTTCATGACTTTCTTCCCAGCTTGTGTGTCCTTGGTATTAGAGGTAAGAACAATTCTTACGTATGGCATGAACAGGAGAGTAATATTTCTCCTTATGTCAGTTTGCCTAAACAGACTCAATACCTTGTAATGTAACACTGACCTACTTTGTAGCTTTCTCGGGAAAGCCGCGAGGGTCGTCCAATTTGGCAGCTCAGCCATTTTGCCCGAGTTTTAGAAGAAGAAGAAAATAAACCAAATCCAGTAACTCAGAGAGTCAAGATGATTATGGTAATGATATAGTTTTCTTCTCCTTTTAGTATCATCATTCTTTTTAAAATTGTTTTTACCCTTCCTATTTTCTTTCTGTAATTTTTTTGGCTCTTTCAATGCTATTCCTCGCTTGTCTTCCTTTTTTTCTTAACTTGTTCTTCATTTCTTTGAGGCTCCTGGTCTTATTATTATTAGTCTCTTTCCCCTACACAGATTTTTCAAGTTTCTCCATCTTATCCCTCCTTGAAAACTTATTTTGGATGTTTGCCACTGGTTCAGTGGGGTCACTACATTAGTCACTCACATAGCAACCTTGGGGCTTTTCATGGTGAGGGGAGGTGACCCAGTTGCTAGGGATGATAAATTTAGGTTTCATTGATATACAGAGGATACATCATTTAAAAAATTTTATTTCAGTCTCTAGGCTTGGTTCTCGTTCACGCTCACAGTCGTTGGATAGCTGATCCTTCTCCGCAAAACAGTACAGCAGACAATTCTAAGGTTTCTTTAGGACTGGATGAAAATGTTTCTAAGAGAATTGAACCAAGTGTTTCCCTCTGGCAGTTTTATCTCTCTAAGTAAGTTAATTGAAATCTACTCTGTTGTATATTAATCAAAGCACTCTATACTATTATAAATTTAGGTTGTACCTTTATATTTTGGAATAGTAACATTTTAATTTGCTTTCTTTTATTTAGAATGATCAGCATGGATATTGAACAAGTTATTACCCTAAGTTTAGCTCTCCTTCTGGCTGTCAAGTACATCTTCTTTGAACAAGCAGAGACAGAATCTACACTCTCATTAAAAAACCCTATAACATCTCCTACAGTGACTCAAAAGAAAGTCCCAGATAATTGTTGTAGACGTGAACCTATGCTGGTCAGAAATAACCAGAGATGCCATACAGTGGAGGAAGAGACAGGGACAAACCAAGAAAGAAAAGGTGATTTCTTATTTTCTCCATTTTCAATTTCTCCATTGCTAATATGACAAAAAGTTGAGTCTGTCTTTAAAATTATATGCAGTGTTGTGAGATTTCTTTTGATCTCTCTTTTTAAAAAAATTTATCTACTTATTATAAAGATGTGGGGTACAATTCAGGTTTAGGTATACAAACATTGATCGGACAGGTACCCTTATTGATGAGGTATGCCCCTCCCTCCCCTAGCAGTTTCCCTCAACTGCCAGTCCCACCCCCCTCCCCTGACAGTTTTCCACTACTGCCAATCACTTTCTTATAGTATTACAATTGTTCAAGGTCACCTTATGAGTGAGAACATATGAAACTCAGTTCTTTGTTTCTGTGATAAATCACTGAGTATGATAGACTCTTAGTCCATCCAATTTGCTGCCAGGTCCATATATTTGTTCTTTATGGCTGCATAATATTCCATTGTGTATACGTACCATATTTTTTTTATCCAGTCCAGCTTTGATGGACAACATGGTTGGTTCCATGTTTTTGCTATTGTGAATAGAGCTGCAACAAACATACGTGTGCAGGTATCTTTTTCATAGAATAATTTGAGTTCCTCCGGGTATATTCCCAATAGGGGAATTGCTGGGTCATATGGAAGGTCAATTTCTAGTTCTTTCAGAAATCTCCAGACTGTTTTCCAGAGAGCTTGTACAAGTTTGCATTCCCACCAGCAGTGTAGAAGCATTCCTTTTTCTCCACATCCTCGCCAGTATCTGTTGTTTGTTTTAATGATGGCTGTTCTTACATAAGAGGTTAGGTGGTATCTCAGTGTGGTTTTGATTTGCATTTCTCTGATGATGAGTCAGGCTGAGCACTTTTTCATGTGTCTGTTGGCTGCGCGTATATCTTCTTTTGAGAAGTGTCTATTCATGTCTTTTGCCCACTTTTTAAAGAGGCTGTTTTTTTCCCTTCGGTGTGTTTGAGTTCCTTGTAGATCCTAGATGTTAGGCTTTTGTCAGATATATAGTTGACAAATATTTTTTCTCATTCTGTGGTGTGTCTCCCTGCTCTCTTGATGGTTTCTTTTGCTTTGCAGAAGCTCGTTAATTTGATTAGGTCCCACTTATCTATCTTGGATAGGAATTTGTTACCAGTTCCAATTTCCATAAAATGTCTCCTGCATTTTCTAAGGTTCCTATAGTTTGAGGTTTTATGTTAAGGTCTTTGATCCATTTAGAGTTAATTTTTGTGTATGGTGATAGGAGTCCTGTTTCAGTCTAATGCATGTGGTCAGCCAGTTTTCCCAGCACCATTTACTGAATAGGTTTTTCTGTCCCCAGTAGTTTTTGTTGGAGGCTTTGTCAAAGATGAGTTAGTTGAGGAATTGAGACTTTGCTTCCGGAATCTATATCCTGTTCCATTGGTCCATGTGCCTGTTTTTATACCAATACCAAGCTGTTTTGATTACTGTAACTTTATAGTAGAGTTTGAAGTCTAGGAGTGTGATACCTCCTACTTTGTTTCTCTTGCTAAGGATTGTTTTGGCTATTTGTGGTCGTTTATGTTTCCATATGAATTTCTGTATTGTCATTTCCAGATCTGAGAAGAATGATGTTGGTAACTTAATGGGTATTGGGTTGAATCTGTAGATTGCCTTTGGTAGGATGGACATCTTAACGATGTTTATTCTTCCTATCCATGAGCATGGTATATTTTTCCATTTGTTTGTGTCTTCTTGGGTTTCTTTGAGCAATGTTTTGTAATTCTCGTTGTAAAGGTGTTTCACTTCTCTGGTTAGTAAGATGCTGAGGTATTTCATTTTTTTTGTGTGTGTGGCTATTGTGAATGTGGTTGTGCTTTTTATTTGGGTCTCTGCCTGCTTGTTGTTGTTATATGGGAATGCAACCGACTTTTGTATGTTTATTTTGTATCCTGAGACTTTGCCAAAGTCCTTTATCAGCATCAGCAGTTTTTTGACAGATTCTCTTGGATTTTCAAGGTACAGGATCATATCATCAGCAGAGGGATAACTTGAACTTACTCTTTTCCTATTTGGATACCCCTGATTTCCTTCTCTTGTCTAATTGCCTGGGCTAGGACTTTCAGCATAATATTGAGCAAGAGGGGTAAGAGTGGGCAGCCTTGTCTTGTTCCAGTTTTCAGGGGAAATGTTTCTAGTTTCTGTCCATTTAGCAGTATGTTAGCTGTGCGTTTGTCGTAGATGGCACGTACTATTTGGAGGTATGTTCCTTCTATACCTAGGTGTTTGAGGGTTTTTATCAGGAAGGGATGCTGGATTTTATCAAAAGCTTTTTCTGCATCTAATGAGATAATCATGAGGTTCTTGTTTTTACATCTGTTGATGTATTTAATTACATTTATGATCTTGCAAATGTTGAACCAGCCCTGCGTCCTGGGGATGAAGCCTACTTGGTCATGGTGGATGATTTTTGTTTTTTTGTTTTTTTTTGAGTCGGAGTCTCATTCTGTCGCCCAGACTGGAGTGCAGTGGCTGCTCCCG